TTTTTTGCCAGTTAAACTTGGCCTAATATTTTTTATTCCGAAAGTTTTTTCTGGATAATAAACAAACAGCTTATCAAAATTAAACAAATTTGGTATCATGTGAAAGAGGACTGAAATATCTTTTGAACAGAAATAACCAACGAAGGTACCACCTCTACTTATATATTTTTTTATATCATTTAATACTAAAGAAATTCATATGCCTGACCCAAGGTTTGTTCTATGGTAATTAATTATCATTTTTTATTGAAATATTTTTCAATAGATGACTTTGCTTGTTTAGACATTTCAGTTTTAAAGCTATTTAAGTCTTCTTTCATTTGATACCAAACTTGTTTAATTTGGATAAGCGGTTTGTTTATTGTCCGGAAAGGACTTTTAGTTGATAATAAAAGATATTTGGCCAAGTTTAACTCGTAAAGAAAATAAATGTTACTTTAGGTCCCTTGATTATTCGCATTCGCAAAAGATTCGCATTGATTATTGCGAATGCGAAAGCGAATGCGAATGTTAAAATTAATGCGGAAGATCCGCGGCTGCGAATGCAAATATCCGCAATAACCCTGATATGTACGTAATAAGTACACTATATTATAGTCTTAGATATGCTGCGCTCCCACTTTGTATGCACTTTTAGGTATGCATGTATGTATATTAGGGCGGGTTGATTTGTATGGTTGAAAAAAAATTTAAAAATCGTATAGCAAAAACGTAATCTACATTAAATTCTAAGAAAATTCTCTGAAGAAACCATGGGTCTAAAATCAAACCCTAATCCGCGCCCCTCGACTTGAAAACTTTTTTCCTCTTCTTTCGCTAAAATTATTTTCTTTTTTTGAAATATATTTGGGGTATTCCCAACGGTGTCTTAAGTGTCGTATCGTTGTATGTCGTAAACTTTAAACGCCTAAGAAATATATTAAGGGAGTTCGCAAAGTACCAACAAAGTCATATTATGATTTTTTGTAGTGCTAAAAAATAGTTGGTTGACGTTTAAAGTTCTCTAAACATTTATTTAAGCTTTTAAAGTTTACGACATACAACTATACGACACCGTTGTGAATCGCTCAATTATGTTTTATTACATTATATTATAGTTTATGCAATACAGGTTTTGTTTTGAGACTAATCAAAATATTCAATTATCAAAAAAGCAGTTGAACCCCAATTTGCATCTCCTCTGATTTGAGTTCTATATAAAAAATAGTTAGAACACGTTTCACCTAAACTGCGTTTTGCATAAAACAAAGAATAATTGAAAAAATTTATTTTTTTTTTGTAATAAAATAGGCAAAGCAAACTTCTTAAAACAGAAAAAAACATGACCTCTAATCCAGTTTATCTCATCAAATTGTTCTCTTGTATATTGTATTGTATATTGTAATTTTTTGAGTTCAATTTTTTTATTTTGCATTTTTATTTTTATTAAATTATGAAAGAAATTTTTTTATTTAAATATGTTCTTTATAAAAATATTAAATATAAAATTATATACAAACTTTTTTACTTGGGTGAATATTTTTTTTAATGAAAAAAAATTTTGAGTAGAAAAAATATAAAGTGCAAAAGAACTACCTTACTAAACAATTTTATTCAGAAAATTCGATTTCTTTTTGGAAAACCCTATTTTTTCTAACATTTATTTTTTTGGCAAAGGCGGCCATATAAATTTTCAAGTCGAGAGGCGCGGATTAGGATTTTATTTTAGATACATGGTTTCTTCGGAAAATTTTCTTAGAATTCTATGTAGTTTACGTTTTTGCTATACGATTTAAAAAAAAAAAAAATCAACCCGCCCTAATGTATATATTCCAATTTGCCTAATTGTTTTCTCGCCTACGTAGCTTAACAACCATACGCACATACATATGTACATATATTCTCGTATCCTAACGCTAAGTTGATTTGTCCACCTAATCCTAGTATACAATAACAACAACATATGCACACCAAGTGCGAATAGCGTTTAGGGTAATATACTTAGTTACTCTGAATTGTACTTTGTATTTAAGCAATGAAGTTTTGGAAATTAAAATATTCTAACAGCTGGCCACCAAATATAGCGCATCGTATTTTATTTCCTCAGCCCATTTGCTTTCTTCGCTTTTTTGAATATAAGTGCGGTTGCAGAAAACGCTCTGTAACCCTACATTTCTTGGCGCCCAACGTGGGGCACGAGCATTTAGTTAATTTATTGAACATTTGGGGTTCAGCTTTAGACTCCTCTTCGCTATCCTTGGAAACGCAGTCATTTCTTCCATCGATGGAATTCACTTCAATTCTCTACACCTGGATACACAATAATTGCCGTCGCTACAGGTAGCCAGGCCATTTTGTACATCATCGTCCGTCAAACGTATGCGTTTGATTCAGGTGCACACGATAACCATCGTCGCTGCAAGCACACACAACTTCACACATCGTCGTCATTGCTGCTCCGTCACCGTCACTGTCAGTTAGTTCAACGAATAACTTCGCCATCACATTGTCGTTACGTTAATTTGGATATTTTTCGCTGCCGTATTCCCGCTCTCTCTTCGAGGATCATCTGTTCACACGGTTGCCTTCGTCCTGCGCACAACGTCCTCTTCATTAAATAGATATTGCTTGATTGCCATATTTCCTATACAACTTTCTTTGGTTTCAGATTGAAAATGTCTCTGGATGAACAGAAACAGCAGCGTGCGAACACAAGGAAGAATATTTCGCGCATTAGGAAAATCGTTGATGCTAGTCTACGACCTGGTGGAAAAGTTCTTTCAAACGCAGAATACAAATGTCGCCTGGGAATTCATGAATCCTACTTTAAGCAAGTTCTTTCTATACAAACTGACATCGAGAAGTTGGGCACCGACGATGGAGGACGCGCTGATTTAGAAGGCCTTTACGTTACCACGAAACTTGCTATCCAATCGCAGCTGGTTGAGGACCACAATGTGACGTTGTCGGACACAACATGCATAATGCAGGCGAACTCAAAATTGCCACAACTTAAGCTCCTCAGATTTTCTGGCAAGTATTCCGAATATCAGAATTTCATAAATTCATTTAAGCAAATTATTGACCGCGAGCTAAGCTTATCAATCATAGACAAGTTCAACCATTTGCGAAATGGTCTCCAAGGTCAGGCTTTGGAAACCGTAGAAGCATTTCCGGTGACAAATGAAAATTACTCGAAGCCATTGGCCAGATTGAATCAGTGGTATGACAACAAAACTTTGATATTTTTAGAGAATGAGGTATCATTATTTGAGCTACCACCAGTTACGAAATCAGATGGTCTTCAATTGAGGAGTCTCATTGACAAGGCCTCAGCAATCTACGGTTCCCTTTCATCACTAGGTAGTGATAGGCAAATCTCTCAAGCTATCCTTGTTCATTTAGTATTGCAGAAGTCTGATGAGCAGGCCAATCGGAAATGGAAGGAGTCACTGGACTTCAAGGCACTGCCTACATGGGAAGATTGTACTAGGGTCTATCAACAGTTCACACACTTCTCCTCCAGTCACTCAAACGACCAGCAAATCTGCCACTGGTAAGTCGAAAAAGCCAACGGGTTACTTGTTTACTTGCTTCAGCTTGCCTTGTTCACTTTGCACGAGCACAAACCTCAAGATATCGAACTGCGACCGCTTCAGGTTACTAAGTAGTGGCCAACGATTCGATCACACAAAGATAAATGGACTTTGCATAAATTGCTTGTCGAAGGGACACCAAGTTGCTCATTGTCCATCAGCGCACAGGTGCAAGGTTTGCTCAAGGCAGCACCACAGCTTACTTCATCGTGCATCCTCGTCAGGCCAAACTGCTACAAATCTGACTCACACCTCACGCGAGGCTACAGAATGGGTAAGGCATTGCTGGACTCCTGTTCTCAAGTTAATTTTGTTACTGAAGAATTCTCGCAAAAGTTGTTGTTGCAAAGAAGTAAGCAAAATATCGACATTCAAAGCATCGGTAAGTCATCAACAAATATTAAGTACAAGACCTCAAACACCATCAAATTGCAAGTTACTGGTTTTGAACTTCCTCTCACTTTTTGCGTAGCACCCCATATTGCTTGTCAGCCCGACCCAGAAATCGATATTTCATCATGGAACATTCCAAGCAATATTGTCCTCGGTCATGATGAATTTCATCTGCCTAGGAAAATTGATTAGTTGTTGGGCATAGAAACGTTCTCAGCCTTTTGGCTGTCGGCCAAATTAAACTCGGATCTAGTTTACCAATTCTACAAAAAACCTTATTCGGATGGATTGTGTCAGGACGCTACTAAGCAGGCAGCAATTCAACTAAATCTTCATGTTTATTTACAGCTAGCGAATCTTTGGATGCTAAATTAGAAAGGTTATGGAAGCTAGAGGAAGAAGTTACTACCACAGAAGCATGACACAACACATTTGCGAGCGTTTGTGCATCAACACCGTGTCAAGTAAGCCTTCTGGTAGAATTGTAGTCAGACTTCCCTTCAAGGACGACCCTTCATATTTGGGTGCCTCATATAATACAGCTTTGAGGCGGTTTATTGCGCAAGAAGGGCGGCTAACAAAATCACCACAATTGAGATCACAGTATGTGGAGTTCATGAACGAATATGAAGGTTTGGGACATATGAGCGCTGTAGAGAACCCAAACCTCAGAAACCCGCATTACTACATCCCACTTCACTGCGTGCTTAAGCCCACAAGCACAACAACCAAGCTACGAGTCGTATTTGACGCTTCCTGCCGCACAACAACGCAAAAATCACTAAACGAACTTGAAATGGTTGGACCAACAATCCAGTGTGATCTAATACTTCTTCGTTTTAGATTATATCGTTTTGTGCTTACTGCCGACATTGTCAAGATGTACCGGCAAGTACTAATGCATGAGGAAGATAGAAAATTTCAGTAGATCTTGTGGAAGAGTTCGCCAACTGAGAAAATTCGCACGTATCAACTGAACACGGTAACGTATGGTATGGCTTCTGCTCCTTATCTAGCTGTACGAAGTTTGATTTACTTGGCTGAACAACATGCGTCCCAGTTCCCAATTGGAGCGAAAATCGTGCAGTCGTCTTTCTATGTGGACGATCTTTTATGTGGAGCTGACACTATGGTCGATCTTTGACAAATGAAGGAGGAGGTGACAGAATTGTTGAAACTGGGTTTCAGCTAGCAAAATGGCACTCTAACCAGGCACGATTCAGAGAAGATAAGTCTGCAACGGATCTGAATCTCGACACGTCCTTTACAAGTGCACTTGGGCTGCAGTGGAACCAATACTTGGACTGCTTCTTATTTGCATTCGAACCAAAACCAAAACCAGCTAGTCGCTATACTAAACGCTCTATCTTTTCAGTTGTCTCATCGCTCTGCGATCCCCTTGGTCTCTTGGCACCTTTAATAATAACATAAAAAATTTTATTGCAGGAATTGTGGCTTCTCAAATTGGATTGGGACGAATCGGTACCTCAGAACATTGAATTCGCTTGGACCACCTTTCGCAACCGTTTATCGGATCTGCCGTCAGTCAAGTTGCAAAGATATTGTTTTTCTCCAAACGCTCAGCCGTCGTTTTAACTGCATGAATTCTGCTACGCATCGATTCGCGCAAATGGTTGCGCACTCAACGCACGTATAGTCAACAAATCAGGGAAAGCTGTTGTTCGTCTGCTCACCGCAAAATCCAGAGCTGTACCCACTAAGAAGCAATTGAAATTGGAGCTTTGTGGCGCTCTTCTTCTCGCTCGTCTATTCGCAAAAACTAAATCAAATTTTTCTGACAATGTATTTGAAGTTTTCTTTTGGACAGATTCGAAAGTGGTTTTGCATTAGCTGAAGATGCATTCTGTTACACTTTCGGCATTCGTTGGTAACCGGACTTCGGGAATCCAGGATTCAACTGGCGTCCATTGGAGGGATGTGCCAACACTTAGCAATCCAGCAGACCTAGTCTCCAGAGGATGCACTTTGGAAAAACTCGTCAAATCAATATGGTATACAAGACCGTCCTTCTTATACGAAGACGTAGAAAAATGGCCAAAAAACAAATGCGATGACATCGACATGGAGGTTGTAGAAATGGAGAAGCATTTGTATTTCTCTTGGTGTTAGTAAAATGTATTTTGAATTTGAAGCCAATCGGACCATAAATGAAGTTTTTCGGAATAACTCCACTCCTACTCCACCTCCTGAAAAGCAAACAAAATGCGCACCTCCCCTTTGAAATACCTTTCGAACAAAAGACGAATCATTCAAGTCGGTTGAGAAACATAGGAGCAGTAGGGAGGAATATATTTGTATGGGATTTCGTTAGCGTATTAAAGCATCTACATACCTGTGCGATTCCGTCGGAGCGGATCTGCACCGTTTTTGATGCTACAGAGTTGACTTCTTCGAAAACGCAAGAACGCACACATCTGTGCCACTCTATCGCCGTGAAAAATTTTATTTTATAAACAAACAAAAAATTTTATTCTTAGCTTTTCTGCAATAAACATGTTTCGTTTTCTTACATTAATTTTTGTTTTAACTCTACAAAATCCGTTCACTGACCTTTTTAGTTCTCAAAACGCGGCATTCAGCGATTTCGGCACGACGAAAAGAACTGTGAAGGTTCGAATAAATCGCTTCTGCAAATCGCATAAGTGTGTCGTTCCTCATCTAAAACTATGGTCGGCATTATTGTAATTTTTGTCGGGACAGATTCGCACCTACAGAATCGCATAGGTGTGTGGATGCCTTTAATATATAGATAGTAGATGGTGAAACCAAAGCAGGCATTCATTGGCTTATACGGAAATTAGAATAACTCGGCTCTGAAGCCACCTATCATTTTTTGCAGGTGTATTTCTCTTGTCGTTAGTAATATGTATTTTGAATTTGAACCAAATCGGACCATAAATGAAGTTTTTCGGAATAACTCCACTCCTACTCCACCTACTGAAAAAAAACCAATTGCACACCTCCCCTTTGAAATACCTTTCGAACAAAAGAAGAATTATTCAAATCGGTTGAGAAATATAGGAGCAGTAGGGAGGAAAGGATTTGTATGGGACTTCGTTAGCGTATTAATATATAGATAGTAGATGGTGAAACCAAAGCAGGCATTCATAGGCTTGTACGGAAATTGGAATAACTCGGCTCTGAAGCCACCTATCATTTTTTGCAGGTGTATTTCTCTTTTCGTTAGTAATATGTATTTTGAATTTGAAGCAAATCGGACCATAAATAAAGTTTTTCGGAATAACTCCACTCCTACTCCACCTACTGAAAAACAAACAAAATGCGCACCTCCCCTTTGAAATACCTTTAGAACAAAAGAATAATCATTCAAATCAGTTTAGAAACATAGGAGCAGTAGGGAGGAATAGATTTTTATGGGATTTCGTTAGCGTATTAAGGCATCTACATACCTGTGCGACTCCGTCGGAGCGGATACGTACCGTTTTTGATGCTACAGAGTTGACTACTTCGAAAAATATTGCAGTATGATGCTCAATTCGCAATTGTTCATGAAAAGACTTTCTTAAATATGTGTTATTATTTATTGCTAAAATGAAGTGAGATTAGTTATGAAGTCAATAAAGAAATTTTAAATAAAAAGAAAAGCACTGGCCACGTTACACTTATTTGTTAGGTAATTGTTTCAGCTATGACTTCTTTTTTTCCACATGGAATCAGTATGATATCGACCATACTAAGAAAACATGTTATATATCCTTTTGGAAAGGGGACTTAATTATCCAAAAACAACTTTTTTAGTTTTTCACTGGCTACGTTACACTTAACATTTGCGGTACATTTCATTACGACTTAATAGGAGTTCTAAACAACTTTTTCGCTTGGAACTTATCCTGTTAAACTAATTTATTTTCTATCGTTCAGAACTTAATCGGCCAAAATTTTTGTACTTTTCCTTGTTCAAGTATCGAAAACCGTTTTTAGGTTCGTGATAAATCCTTCGACAAAAGCAGCAAAATATTAAACACAAAATGCTTGGACATGATAAGAATTAGTGTCAGAAGCAGCTGACAGATATAGTGAACACCAATAATCACTAATAAGTTCAATATTTGAAAGAAAAAAAAATCGGGCTGGTTTACTTTCCTGTAAAATTGGCCTTATATAGATAGTAGATGAAGAAATCAAAGCAGGCGTTCATAGGCTTATACGGAACTTCTTTTTGGTTGTTTGTATTTCCGACAGGGTAGGAGTATGATGTATTGTGGAACGATTTTCCGTCATCCCTTGTCAAATTTGGTTTGGAGACAAACCGGGTTCGGCGTTGTGCCATCTTCAGTGTCATTTTTCGTTCTGCACTGACACTGAAGATGGCGCAACGCCGACACCGGTTTGTCTCCAAACCAAATTTGACAAGGGATGACGGAAAATCGTTCCACAATACAGCTTATATGGAATTTGGAATAACTCGGCTCCGGAGCCACCTATCGTGTCCATTTTTTGCAGGTGTATTTCTCTTGATGCTAGTAATGCGTATTTTAAATTCGAAGCAAATCGGAACCATAAATGAACTCCACCGACTGAAAAAAGTGCGCACCTCCCCTTTGAAATACCTTTCGAACAAAAGAAGAATCATTCAAATTGGTTGAGCAATATGGGAGCAGTAGGGAGGAATAGATTTGTATGGGATTTCGTTAGCGTATTAATATATAGATAGTAGATGGTGAAACCAAAGCAGGCATTCATAGGCTTATACGGAANAGTGCGCACCTCCCCTTTGAAATACCTTTCGAACAAAAGAAGAATCATTTAAATCGGTTGAGAAACCAATATGGGAGCAGTAGGGAGGAATAGATTTGTATGGGATTTCGTTAGCGTATTAATATATAGATAGTAGATGGTGAAACCAACGCAGGCATTCATATGCTTAAACGGATATTGGAATAACTCGGCTCTGGAGCCACCTATCGGGTCCATTTGTGTATTTCTCTTGATGTTAGTAATATGTATTTTGAATTCGAAGCAAATCGGACCATAAATAAAGTTTTTCGGAATAACTCCACTCCTACTCCACCTACTGAAAAAAAAACAAAATGCACACCTCCCCTTTGAAATACCTTTCGAAGAAGAAACATAGGAGCAGTAGGGAGGAATATATTTTTATGGGATTTCGTTAGATTATTAATATATAGACTAGTGAACCCGCATGGCGTCAAAATTTTTAATTTTTTTAAACAGGTGAAACCCTATTCAAAAACCTCTTAAAATATTCCTAATGATTAATCTAAACCATTTCTCAGTGATGAGAGTTCTCGCATGGTGTCGGTCTTCATTTAATCAAATTTCAAATCTCCCTGTAACTTCAAAAAATAAAACCTGTGCACATCTATGTAGAATATAACTCTAATTAAAAAATATTATCAGCCTATAGTTTTCTTAAAACTCTTTCGTTTGACACTAATATTTCGATATTTCATTTATGTATCTTTTGTATAAGTAAAACAAATTCGACTTTTCAAACAGGTGGCAACCCCTTTAAAAGTATTTTCAAACTAAAATCTTTCGCCTGGCATTGTTATACATATTTCAATTAACTGATGAATTAACTGATGAATTAAGTTGAATTTAATTTTTTAAGCACATGGCAACTCTGCTAAATTCAGTTTAGAAATAAGTTATTTTCAAACCCATTTCGATTGATACCTATCTTTTGACAATCCATTTAACTTATTAAATAATTTGAGCTTATTTTTTTCAACAAAAAAAACAAAATGTTCCGCTTAAATATTTCTTAACGCTCGTTCTTTTGATAACCATATTTTAAAATTTCATGTAACTTATGTATAATTAAACGAAATACCACTTTCAACAACCGGCAACCCTCTTAAAAATTATTTTCGAACTAAAATTTCCTTAAATATTTGTCGTCTGACATTGTTATAAATATTT